ATTTCTTCTTATATCTTCGTATTTAAACTGTACAACCTATTCAATAAATTTTGAATTTTTATTTGATTTTTTTTACAATAAAATTTTACATCCTATTATATTGGAAAATAAATACTAACATACCATGTTATAGAAGTACCACAACCAAATACAAGATACAATCATTTATTTAGACCATTTATAAAAGATTCTTTAAATTGAGATCTTTTATTTAAAAATAGGGAAAGTAAAATATCAAAGGTTACTAAGGGGTTGTTTGGTAGTTACTGAGTGGTTTGGTACAGAATGAATAAATTGTCATAATAATTAAGATATTCTTATAATATAGTGCAAAGTGAAATATAATTATTTACATGAAATTATGATGCTGAATGGTTAAGGGAGTCCATAATGCAAAATCATTCAAAGGATTTTAGAATCATTAAGAAACATATTTTTTTTACCAAACAAGATTCATCTTTTAATAATTCAAAAATTACTTATTAACCATTAAGAAGTGTTTGGGTGCATCAGCAAACCAAATTTTAATTTGGTTTGATAATTATTTAAGAAAAGGTCGGAATAGACGACTTAAAATATTTGACCTCATTTATTATTCTATTTTTGCTACATTAAAATATTGTAATTCATAAATTAAAATAAATAAATAAATAAATGTTTTTAAAGTTTAAACGGCATGTCAACGAACGATGGTTGATGTGTGTGTATCACATTGAATTGGTCTTGCAGAAAAGGCCTACCCTTTGAGGGTGTAAATTTAATACCACCACTTAATGTGGTCACATTTTTGTATATACTTCTATTTATATATACATAATAAATACATGTTCTTAAATATATGTTCAAAATTAATCAAACTTTTCTTAGGAATTTATCTGTTGAAAAACAATTATATTAATGTCTATATATATATATATATATATATATATATATTGAGAGAGAGAGAGGGGAGTTATTATGCAACCATTTATATATGTACAACCAACACAATTCAATCATAATCGTCCATTTAATTTGATGAATATGTAATTTCATAAAAATTCTGATTATTTCTAAATATAAAGTATTGATTATAATTAATTAAACTTAATATCTTCCATAAAAATTCGAATCATAATAAATAAACTTTCATCATTTCCGTAAATATCTTAATTGATTGTGTTGTATTAGTTATACAAATGTGATGAGAAAGAGAGTTATGATCATTTATTAACTATGAAATTATACAACTTTTTTAGACCAATCACAAGTCATTATTATCTTATGTTCATCTATCACCATGCAATTAATATTGAAGATATATCGGTAATTTTTTCTTTTGTCTTGATTCCATTTGCATTAATGGGTTGTTACAAAAACATTTAGTTCCATGATTCTAGCTAAATTACCTAAGCACACAATCTTATAAAATCTTTGAAAAAAACAAATCATTTGAGCACAAAATCTTGAAAAGAAAAAAAAAATCACCTAAGCACAAAAACTGATCAACAATTTTCCTCTTTTCAATATACTATCTCGTACGTAATAAGTTGAAGAGAATCTCATTGTTCATAAGTGAACATGATGCATGAACATGTGAAATTAATGTTCATAAGCGCATATATAATCAGGTGAACATGATGGGTTTTTGTTGGGGACATATGTGTATAACTGAACAATGTTTATTGTGTAGTCATATACGAAAAAAAGGGAACAACTTGTGAACACTTTAGACATTAAATCCTTGATGAAGTTAGTTACTATTCAATGGAGTAATTATCGGACGCTAATTGGACAAAAAATCAAAAAATAAAAAAAATCTCAAAGCTATTTATTGGATTATATTTATCATGATATTTATGTAATAACAAAAAAATCTGATTATATCTGAGCATATGTTAAATTTGTGAATCAATCATAGCCATTCATCTTGAAAATCAATTGGATTATATTTATCATGATATTTATGTAATAACTAAGAGCATGATGCGTTAGATTGGTAGATTGGTATATATGAACAAGAGTATCATTGGAAAAAATAAAAAAGATTCTTATTAATTAGCGTCCGGTAATTACCCCATTGAATGATAACTGACTTCATCAAGGATTTAAATGTTTAAACAAGAGAGATAATATTTTATGAACTGTATTGAATATTTTAATAATACAAAAAAAAATTGTAACTTCCAAAATGAAGAAGCTGTTGGAGATGAAACTATTTTTTTCCTGGAAATTCTAACCTTTGGTTCTACATTTTCGAGAATCAGTTGGAGATGTTCTAAGAATATATGAAACCTATTAAATTACTGTCTAAAAAACCTTTAAACATATAATAGAAATGGTTTGTAATTATGGATTTATTTGTAATCCAAAATCACTGGAGAACAGAGTTGAATATGATGGTTGAAGGACCAATTAGAAGAAGAATAGTATGTAGAAAATACAAGGAACCAACAACCACCTTCAGATATGGTGTGATCATCTAAACATGAGAATTGAGAAGGAATATATATTATATACATTAATAATATATTAATCAAAAGCTAAGCCCATAATACTTCTTGTATGATTATTTTAAAGATTAGGAGGAAGCCATTGGTATAATTGAATGAAAGTCTAATAATGCTACGCGTTGATGATATTGCTTGCTGGCAAGAAAGTTGGGTTCATGACATTTTCTAAACCTAACCAAAGAAAACGATGTCATCGCCCGTGTCGATAATTGAATGGTTCAATTCAAAATAATTAAAAATGGTTAACTCTAAGTGTCCGGACCAGCTTGTATACATCTCGACTTATTTCATGGAACCCAGAGAACAGCAGCCAGTAGTAGGCTTAGAGGGATTTGAACCGGTGACCTATGAGAAGGCGGCTAAAGACGCCAAACCTTGTTGTCGGTGATCTAAACTCTTGATAAGTTTCAATGTCAAACCCACAAAGATTTCACTTTCATGACTCAAAGATTTATTATAGTAGAGGTGGGTGAAATTGGATTAGGTAAGAGAGAGGCATGCAGGAAGGGATCTAAAGCTGAGACAATATTCACCAAACCAAACCAAACCAAACTGCACTTGACTTATGGTGAGGTCAATACAAAATAAAATAACCATATCTATAAGTAGAGCCGTTAAGGAGAAAGGGAAGGTTCCAATTTATGGTGAAGTTAAGTGGAACCCAACATCACTTCCCATATATGGTTTCTTACTGCTCTTTTTACCCTTTTCATTGTATTTTAATGCTCTATGGGTGACACCTTGTGCTAATCCCTTTCATCATTTGATTCTTTTAGTTAAGTTGATTTGCATGTCCTTTTTTCTTTTTTTAGGAGCCGGTTCGAACCTCGTTTGTACCAATTTTCCAAGTTTTTAGTTTTGAATTTTAGATTTATTATGTTTATGAAATTACAAGACCTTACATCCACAATAAAAAGGACCAATCAACAGACCAATAATTATTTTGTAAGAAGTATCTATAATTTTATTTTTTATAGACAAATGGTATCACCACTAACTCTAACGAGGAAAGGAAGGTTACATTCCATTCCAATCCATATCCAACCAAATGTGAATTGATATTTGTATGTGTATTCATGCCCTCGGGCCTAGGGGTAAGCAGGAGTCATGGACTTTTCAAACCTGAGAAGGCCCATATCCCAATTAAGACCCACACTAACTTAGCCATATGCAACCACAACACAAGTTTTGATATGAGAAAAGCATACAGGTTTGGATTTTGGAACCACAATGGATGCACATGCCCCTGAATTTGAGCCCATAAGCAACCCACAAAACCAATTCCTTAGATCAAGACCATGGTCTGATGGGTTGAAGCAATGCTTCATCTATTGCACACCCCGACCCCATGTAGCAATCAACCATTTGGTTGGTTAGATATGGGCTCTGTGGCTAGTTCAAATGTTCATATGCAAGCAGGAAACTTAACAAACATGAAATAAAAAAAATGGACATGCATTTTATGAGGCAAATGCAGTGTGTAATGTAAACCAAAACAAAAATTTAGAAGGAAACAAGCATGCTAGGCATGATAATTGTACCCGAGCCGTTGGAGAACCCGGTTTACCCGTCTCGGTTGGAGATGGAATTCCCTGTAAAACAGGGTACTGGGCCGGGGATTATAAAGTTGGGGCCGGGGCTGGGTAATGCATTCCCCAACCCACCCCTTTCTCGTATATATTTAATACTCCTTCCGTCCCAAAATAAATGTCCACAATAAAAATGACGGAGTTTTAGGATTGTGCAATTATTTCACTTTTTAAATAATCAAACGATAATTTACCTTTGATAACAGGGAGAAACTTTCTCCGTCTCATAATTAAGGGTAGAATGAGAAATTGAAAACTTCCTTCTGAAAATAGACATTTATTTAGGGACAAATTAAAATAGTAATGCGGAAACTTGATCTGGGATGGGGGGAGTATATTTTTCTAATATTTCTAATTAAACGTAAGGTTTTCTAAATCCACGTTTGAGATATACACGAAATACATGTAGGATCACCATCGCAGATATTTCTAGAACACCTTTAATAGAGAGACATATAGTCAATTTTTAGAGCACTTACTGTCTTACCATAATCCTAATTCTTTTTAATATTATATCATTATTATTTTCTTAATTTATCTACCGCCCGTGCAATTCTTAAAAAATTGATTTTATTCTCCTAATACAATCAGCATTCATTTTTTCATTTCTAAAAGTAACCGGACCGGGGATAGGCCCAACAAAAAGCAAGAAGGGATTGCATTCTCCTCCCCATTGTCATTTCTAAAGCATGCAAGCTACATGCGAGAGTGTGTGCCAGAAACAAACTTCGATATGCGGGCTGATGCACGTACCTTATACTTTGATTTTCCATCGTGTGTCCAAAAGGCTGCCTCCATTATCGTTTTCTGCAATAACAATGCACAAAAGGACCAATTATTTACGTACTAGAAAGCAATTCAATCCAAATTATTGTTGTTTTCTTGTTTCCCATGTGGGACAAATCTTTAGAGCTTTTTAACAACACACGGCCCGTCCCCTGGATCCTTTAGCTTTTGAGTTAAGTGCTTTACCAGTCAGATTCACTTCTGCTTTCCCTAAGCTCACCCTAGATCAGGATGATCCCGTACCAACTACCCGTTGTCATCATCCTCTTTATGTAAAGCACTAAAACACATCCAAAAGTGTCGATCTACATACGTGTACTCAACCTGCAAATGTTCAACTTCATGGAATCGAGTTACAAACCACTTAACGAACATGAATTCTCAAAACATTAAGGGGAATTCAAAATCTAAAGGCCAACATAAAAGTTGCCATGTGCATTGATCATGAACCCCACAACTTTTTTGCAAAGCTTTTATTGCTGTAACAGAGAAGTTTCTTTCAATGTCACTGTAAAAGAAAAAAAGTAGCGGTAGAAAGTGTGTTGTTATCTAGCATGCATGCCCCTATTCACTTCTTAAGACTAAAGAACAAGATTCCTACCACTAGAATTGTTCACTGCTTTCCGAAGCTTAATTCTTGTTGTTTGATTTTGATATTGGTTTTTCAGCAGATTGTCATCTAGAAAAGAAATAGAAATGGAATATGATTCGAAGAATGTTAGAAATAGGTATTTGGAGATGATTCGATGACGGATAATCTAGTTGGATGATGAAAATTCACTTTCCAAATATAATAATTTGTCCCTGATAGCCTTGGGTATCACAAATTTGGTATTGCGATAATCCAAGAGAAAAACTCTGTCTCAAAGGCTATAAGATCGAGTCCTTATATATACCCAGATTCTCGTTTACATATTTATATGAGAGATCGACAGTTATAGGGGGTTAAGAGCGTTATAACGTTAATGGATAAGATTAGAGAACAGTTACAACTGTATCCAAACTCTGATTGTACCGGCTATAAGTCTGGTTGCACAGACCCTAAGTCTGATTGCTTAGTCCAGATCTCAGACTTGGTCAATTTTCTACCAACTTCGAGGACAACTTTAAGATGGTTTCCAACCTTTTTAAATTCTTCCAGATGATCCCGAAACTAGAATTCTCTAAGGTTCCCAACCACCAGCAAGGGGTTCTGCCCCTTGGAACCCCGCTAGGGGCGCTGCCCCTAGAGGTGATAGGGGAAAATTTTGTGAGTGTGTACTCCACACCTCCTAACTCACTTATGATTGCCTTATCACTTTAATCGATCTCAAGTAAATCACAATCACACCAAATGGTTGATGACGCTAAAATCACCAACACATAATACCTTGAAAATGGCAATAGAAAGACAAATGGAGTACATCATGATTTTCTGTGTGGGCATGCAAATTTTCTCTCTTTTTTCTGTTATAAAGATTAATTTTCACATTAAACCTTTGCTTTCTATTGCACCAGCAACAAACCTCCTATGTAAGGCAAAGATAAATAAAGAAAAAGACACCTTCACTACTTGCATTCATTTTTCGTGATGGTTAACTAGTCACCACAACACACAATTGAACTACAATTCTAAAAAGGCATGGAACACAAAACCAACTCTTGATTTGGTTTTGACACCAAAGCTTTATCAGTAAAGCTATATATTCTCTTTCTAATCTATGATATACTTGTGAAGATAAGCTTCAATAAAGTACAATATACTTCCTTCATCATAATAAAGTGCAATGCTTGGCTTGGCACATTAGTTTTTGATAAATAATTATTATACCTTAAATACCCCTTAATATGGGCCTATTGTTGACAGCTTAACGAGATTAATGGGCTCACAGCTTATTCAGTCAGCTATACATGACTGTTTGGTAGTGGCTTAATGATATAGAAAGTGGCTTGTTCAGTAAGCTTCTAAAAAGGGGGAGCTTTATGCAGAAAGCCAAGTTTTTCCAATACCTTCCCCTCTGAACAACTTTATCCATACATGACTTAATGGAAAACCAACCAAACAGCCCCTAAGACATACATGAGAAAAGTTTTGGATTGCAATCAATTTCACAAATATCTTGTAATGATTCCTGATATGGGTAAGTTGTAAAACATTGGCATTTTTTTAGGACAAGCCAAAATGGAAACTGATGCCTTTTTATTGGGAGGGGGGTTGCAGTTTATATGTATCCCCTTACAAGTGTTCAAATTTTCACAGCAAAAGATGTGACAACGAATAGGATGGATTGGTTCAATGCTATGAAAGATGTTTTGTGTACTACACATACGGATTTCACTCAACATAGAAATCCTGGCCATATTATGCACTAACAATGCTTTTTGTCTTGGCTAACATGGCATTGTGTGTGACAGAAAGAGACATCACGTTTCCCACTATTCATCAGTTGAAAAAAGCACAGGATGAAAAAGAAAAGATGAAGTCATATGCGGCGAGCACCAACCTCAGCAAAGATCTTGATTGCGACTCCAGAGCCTTTCTGTCATGTTGGATGGATGAGTTAGAGCATCTACAATTTAGTGTGTGGTGGAGAAAAATTCTTCTTTGGCACGAAGGTCCTCTGCTCAAATCACATCAGTACAAAAAGAGAACTGCACACTTTCTTGTAATCTAAGCCCACCACGTCTTCCTTCTCTTTGAAGAAAGAGGACTCCGATTTCTTGTTAGCCAATTCAGATTTTCATGCTGCTCCATTCCGAATCATTTTATTTTTGTGGCATCAGGGTGGAGGAAGCACTATAACTTGCACGACCAATTGATGTCGTTCAGAATAATAAGATTCCTTTATCGTGGCTTGAAGATCATTAATTCAAAGTACCAAATTTCTTATCTTATTGTTATTCTTAGACTATGTACATTACTTAGCCTTGAATTGGATAACAGACATATATGTCAAATTTAGCTTCAGACACAGAATATGATACAATATATCTATGTATTTCCGGAATATCATCTAATATATTTGTTTTTACTTTATGTCTAGAAACATCTTTTGATGCTTTTCTTTATGTATTTATATAGGAAAAAACATTCAGATAGCAGAATATATGCGCATAAATATGTACGCGCTACACACTACACAAGCATGCAAATATGTCTGCATGATATTTATATCGGTTGTCCTTATCCACCTGCGACAATGAGTATTAACACAATCCAAGAAAAAGGCCACTTCCTGATATCATTCTCTAGTAAAACTGTTCTTAGCAGCGTTGATAATGAACTTCTCATTTTGTAAATTTGTGATATACGCAATTATTTTCTACGTAACCTGAACCAGTGACTACAAAAATTAATAAGGTCATATTTATTTAGACCATTTTCATTTGTCATTTTGACCATTTATCCATAAAGTATGTGGGATACACTGCCATAGAGATCTTATTCTAAAAAAGTCCTGGTGATTCACATGTTTAACACGAAAAGTCAAGGAAATTATGAACAAAAAGTAGAAAAATGATGCGAATGAAGCCTAGACATTCAATTTGGAATGTCTTGCATCCCACATTACACATATAAGAAGCAATAAGAAAGATTGCCTAGATATAATTAGAAGAGAATATCAAGTGTGAGCCTATTGGAGCCTATAGAGTTTGTTGTACGTAATAATCATAATAAATGTAAAGCCATTAGCATAGCCAAATAACTATATATAGACCAATTGGGCTCTTAAACAATATAACCAAGAACTACTTCCGAGCAGAGCTCTAGGTGTTGAAACCGGTGCCTTAACCCTCACTGTTGCTTGCTCCTACTTTTGTTCTGTACTAATGGATGGAAAGAAACTGGAATACAAAGGAAAGGAGGCTCTGAAGGGGATTCAGAAGCTAACAGCAGAAGCTGAAAAAGTTCAAGAAGATTTGCTGAAAGCAATCTTAACAAGGAACAAAAAGACGGAATACCTCCAAAAGCACATGAAAGGATTGTCAACGGATGATGTATTGGAGTTCAAGCAGAAAGTACCAGTCATCACATACAAAGACATCTATCCCTATATCCAAAGGATAGCTAATGGTGAAGACTCCTCTTTGATCTCTGGTCACCACATAACCGAGATGCTATGCAGGTCTCTTTCCCCCCAATGGACCTCTTATTGTTTCTTCTTTGAAGCATATAATACTTATGTAAGACAAATACGCACAGTCCTCACCTTTGGTGAGGTTTGAACCCTTGATCTTCTGGAAGGTTGGGGCTCTACCGATGGGCCAATAACCCTTTGCTACCTCTGAATATCGTGGTAACAGGTACAACTGCGTAATGGCTAAATCACTTTTCTTTGTACTTGCAGCTCAGGGACATCTGGTGGAGAGCCTAAGCTAATGCCATCCATTGCAGAAGATCTTGACCGTCGAACTTTTGTCTATAACTTGATCATGCCTATAATGAATCAGTTAGATATTCTTTTTAACTTTCTTCATAATACCCATTTCCCATCATATCTCATCTTGTCCATTTTTCTTCTGCTCCAGTTTTGCATTGTTTTCCCCTATGGACCAAGAGCTCAACCTCATAGCCTTGCCTAATGTAATGTTCCCCACATGATTTATGATACCACTAAGGCATGAAAGTTAAATAAACTGTCCACGTTGCTCATGATCCAGGAGGAAAAATATGTGTGGAGCTTGCCTAAGAACTGGATTGTAGACCCCAATGCAGAATGGGCAGCTGCGTCCGCCAAACTACTTGAATATTTGATATGCATAGATGTTGATGGATATTTCTTCCATTAATTTTCGGTTACAAACAGGCTGATAACGTGGACGCATGACAAGGCCTTGCACATCTCTAAAGAGTAATCAGTGACAAAAAATTATACATGTCTAAGCATGAAAACACTATATCATTTATTTTTCATTGTGTGCTCTCCCCCCAAAAAAAATCTTTATATAATTCACCTTTAAGACATCAGTGTCATGCACTTATTAATCCCCTTCACTCATTTCAATGACAGGTACGTGACAGGACTTGATGAAGGTAAGGCCATGCTTCTATATTTCGTCAAGGCAGAGATGTCCACTCCTTGTGGTTTACCAGCTCGGACAGTTCTAACCAGTTATTACAAGAGCAAGCATTTTAAGTGCCGATCGAGTGATCCTTACAACGATCACACAAGCCCGAATGAAGCCATTTTGTGTGATGACAGCAACCAAAGCATGTATTGCCAGCTGCTAGCAGGGTTAATCAACCGCCACCATGTCCTGCGTCTTGGAGCCGTATTTGCATCAGCTTTGCTGCGCGCAATCTCCTTCCTTGAACGCAATTGGCTTAGTCTATGCAGCGACATCCGCACAGGCCAACTGAACCCTATGATTACTGATTCTGGCTGCCGATCAGCCATGTCTACCATGCTCAAATTGGCAGACCCTCATCTAGCGGATGAGATAGAGAACATCTGTAGCCGTCGATCATGGAAAGGAATAGTCTGTGACTTATGGCCTAAGGCCAAGTATATTGAGGCAGTGGTTACAGGGTCTATGTCCCAATACATACCAGCTCTTGAGTACTATAGTAGGGGGAAGTTACCACTTGTATGTACAATGTATGCTTCATCCGAATGTTATTTTGGGGTAAATTTAAAGCCATTGTGTGATCCTGCAAATGTTGCATTTACCCTCTTACCAAACATGGCTTACTACGAATTCATACCCTTGGATGAAAATGAGACATATGGCAATGACGACGAAGAGATCCCGTCGGATAAGCTTGTTGAGCTGGTGCTAGTTAAAGTTGGTTGCTACTACGAATTGGTGGTCACGACATTTTCTGGTAAGTTTCTCATGAATTTATCTTCTTTGCACACTCTTACCTTTGGTGAGGTTTTAACCTTTGAACTCTTGAGAGGCTGGGCTCTACCGATAACTTGTGTACAACTCGGTGAATGAGCCTTTGGTAATTTTCTCGTATTAAATATCTGCTCTTACTTAGAATTGGGGTTTGTAACAACTAGAAGGGTACTTTCTTTTAGATTTTTTATATTTAAAATGAAATGTTTATCCAATATTTGATTATGTTTATCTGCAGTTAGTTACACGAATTCAAGCATGGAACTTTAATAAGTTGTACTTACGCATTATTTAGTTGTAATCTTCAATTTTAAGTAATATGAATCAAGTACTTCATGTAACAAAAATTGTTTTTAAGTATTTTTGTCAAATGTTTTATAATATAGTATAGATAAATAGGACTTTTATAAAGAATGATCAATAGAATCACATAAATAGCAAAAATATTCTCTTCGTTTTTGTGATAGTAGTTTTGGTTGAAAATTTCTCTATCCAGTCTCAGAAGTTTTCTAAAAGGTTGTGTATAATCATTTCTTCTAATTTCCTCCTTCCGGATTTTATAAGATGAAATAATCAACCAATGAATCTAAGAAGATATTTCATGTCGATACCTCTGTTCTCTAGTCAGCAAGTATCAAACTTTCTCTAATTTTAATCCTCAGACGTTTACATCGACTTGCTCTACTTGTTTAAGCATACATGTTATTTTATTTGTGTATTCCCAAGATTGCTGCAATGTTTTTACCAATTCTCCTTAACTTTTTCTTGCTTTTACGCTCTTCCTCGCACAAAATTGCTTTTCAAAAATGTCTCACAAGCCGGGGTCTTTGAGGAAACAGCCTCGTTACCCCTCGGGAAAAAAGAAAGGTTGTGTACATCTCACCCTCCCGATACCCCACTTCGCATGGGATTCACCTCGAAGTGGGATTCACGGTGTTAGTTTGATCTGGTTTATTTTGTCCTAGCAAACATGTAAGATGACATCATTATTAAGTGTAAAACTCACTAAACTAGTTGTTTTTGGACCATTCAGGGCTAAACCGGTATCGTATTGGAGATGTGCTCCAAGTAACTGGATTTCATAACCAAACCCCACAATTTAGGTTCATCTGCAGGAGGAATGTCATTCTAAGCATTGACAATGACAAAACTAATGAAGAAGATCTGCATAAGAGCATCATGGCAGCAAAAAGGCTTTTAGAACCCTACAATGCACTGCTTGTGGAATACACTAGCTATGCTGATACATCATCAGTGCCAGGACACTACGTTATATACTGGGAGATCAAACATTGCACACCCTCAGTCCTAGACAAGGTCAGCTCTCCACTTGGCCCTAAGGTGCTTCAAGATTGTTGTATTGCAATGGAGGAAGATCTTGATTACATTTACAGGCGATGTCGCACTAATGACAAGTCTATTGGACCACTTGAGATTCGCGTTGTGAAGCCAGGCACTTTCGAGTCCTTGATGGACTTGTTTATAAAACAAGGTGCATCCATTAATCAGTATAAAACTCCACGGTGTATTAAGTCTGATGCTGCACTAAAATTGCTCAACTCTAGCGTGAAGGCCTACTTCTTTAGTCCCCGAGATCCCACATGGAATCCTTGATATGCTTAACTTTTTCATAATAAACAAATTCTCCCTTCTAGCTAGGGGAATGTATGGGTAAGTTATGACACTTCACCCAGTTTTGCCTAAGCTAATAATTTATGTTTTAAGGGTATCCACTAGCTAATGATATTTCAACTGGTTTTATCATTGAGGAAGGATCATATTCTCTGTTCTGGATCATGTATAACCCGTATTAGAGTTATACGTGAATTAACAATCTAAATATCTAATAATACCTGATTACTTATTAACCTACCTAGGAAATGCCAATATTGAGTAGGTTCTCCTTTTTATATACTTACAGCTTCTTAAAATATAGGGGTTAAGATTACATGGTGAACCTAAAACAAACATGATTCACCAGTGTAGCTTAAGCTCAATTTTCGCATTAGCTCTTTAAGAAATTCATGGAATAAACTGATTCTAACTGCGCAATTACCTCGGATGAAAACTGGTAAATGTAAAGCTACCAGCAGGATGTAATGAGATATACTAAAATAGTTAAAAACACATACGAATTCAATACACAATTATCAATCAGAATCAGATTATGCTTAATGCACTCATGATCAATAAACTCAATCGAAAAACACCTGAAATGATGGTACCTGGTAGCTGGTAAAGGGATTTGCATCATTAACTATACGAATTCAATATACAATTATCAATCAGATTCAGAATCAGATGATGCTTATACACCAAGGATCAATAAACTCAATCGAAAACCCGCCCCCTGAAATAATGGTACCTGGTAGCTGGTAAAGGGATTTGCATCATTAATCATTGTAGTAGCATATATGACAACCAGAAGCGTCATTTTTAATCACTAAATCACACAGTCCACTTTCGGAATAGAGAAATTAGCTGCGTATTACTCCTGATGTCGTTCAAGCCGAACGGAGAACCTGCCATGGCGGCAATCAGGCGTTTGTTCGGTATCCCTTCTGTTTGACACGATTGTATCTAAAACTAAAACTAGCGGGTCTGGGCGGGTTATGAAAACCCCGTTTTTGGCTATGAAAAAAAACCTGGTCCGATTGTAACGTTTGGTATGCAGACGGGATAGGACAAGATGGGACATGATTAATTATTTGTCTTATGTTTAGTATGATTAGAATATGATAAGATAAAATTGTTAAAATGATCGTGTTATCCTTAAATGTTGTTCAATGTTATTTTATATCATATAATGATCGTAAAATTACAACAAATCAACCAAAATATATTTTAATTACATATTTAAAATACATTAAATATTTTAATTACATATTTAATCATTAAATATAAATACAAAAAAAAGGTAATATAGTCAATTTGTATTTAGTCTTATGTTGTTCCATCTTTTTTGATGGAACAAAAATCATTAAGTTTTGTCCCATCAAATTTAAAAATAGTCTCATCTTATCCTATGTATTTTTTTGTCCATGGCATGCCAAACATTGGACTATTTTTTTTGTCCCGTCCCATGTAATCTGCGTACCAAACGCACAATACTTGGCCGTCTAACAACATCTCTCCCGATCCCTAAAAATTGTTTATTTACCTTTTAATAGTTTAATTAAAAAACAGTCTCTGAATTATTAAAAGGTAAAAGTCTGTCTCTTAATAGTTCTAAAACCTTCTGAATGATTTTTTATCATGAGTCTCCCTTAACCATTCAGCACTTTAATTTCGTTGTAAATTATTACCAAATAATTATACTTCATTTTGCACTATATCATAAAAATCTCTTAATTCTGAACACTTAATCATTTTTTATCAAACCATTCAACAACTACCAAATTTAAAAAAATACACCAGAATATTCTAGAATTTCTATCATGAAACATAAAAAATTGTATTTATCATTTCTCATCTTTTCTTTTCCTTTTTCCACTTAAAAAATGACATGTAGCAAGAATGTTAGAAACTTTTATTAAATCAAGAGTAAATTACATTTTTTGTCCTTATGGTTTGTTAAAAATTACGATATTCGTCCTTTAGATTTTGAAATTTTGATTTTCATCTCTACAATCTGCAACTTATTTCTATTTTTGTCCCTAACACCAAAACACTATTATTAAGTATGAAGAATTAAAATAGAAATGAATTGTAAACTATATAGATAAAAAACAATAAATTTTAAACCATAAGAATAGAAAAGGTAATAAATTGTAAACCATAATGAACGAAAAAAGCAATTTCAAAACCATAAGGACTGAAAATGTAATTTATTCTTAAATCAACTTTGAGTGCTTTAAGTTAGGTTTGGTATATTAGTTAAAAAAAGTATTTGTTTGACAAAAAAAATTAACTGTTAGCTGATAACTTAATTTAATAATTAGTTGATAAATATGAAATAACTGAGGTATAGATGGCCAAAAATCTGAGTGTTTTGTTGGAGGTATTAAGTAGTCATTAATGAGATTTATGTAAAACAGATTGTTCAGTTTTATATAATACAATGGGTCGATTCCCCATACAAACGCAAAATTTTATTACAGGTTAAACTGGAGGAATGAAAATTCATTGTCATGTTTTATATTGGAAATTTTGAATTACATGTATGAAGTAATAAAGCATACAGTGACAGTCTTTAATTAGATTGAGACGATTACAGTAATATGAATAGGTAATACCATTTTTTTTATTAAAATCTATATCATTATATACTTACGAGAATCATAACCATCTATCTTTCAGTCTCCGAACGCTTTTTCGTTCTTGTATGCTTCATGTTGGGTTGTTTTCTCCTTGTTTTTGCGTGTTACGGGTTTTGTTCCTCGGTTTGTTTTTGTGACGGTTCTTTTGTTTCTTACATAATTTCTATTCTTACCCCTCTTCTACATTTTGTTTTTTTGTCTTAATAAATTTATTTAACCACGAGGTGGTGCTCGATTGGTTTGAACTTTGACTCCAAAAATCAAAAGGGTCTGGAGGTCACATGTTGGAATCCAAAGAGAAATAAAAATCCTCTTGTGATCATGGATGTTCAAATGCGATGACTCCAGGCTACCCACAAAGCAGGTAGTCGTTCTGAGATTAGTCAACTCGCTACCCACAAAACAGGTAGTCGTTCTGAGATTAGTCAACTCGCATAATATGTTGGATATCTAGATTAATTTAAAAAAATCAAATAAAAGTGTTGTATGTACAAAATAAAAGAAGTCCCATACCCTATAAGTACAATCTCATTGAATGGAGGCCACAAATAAAGCCACAAACTTTCTTTACAATTTAAAGTGGGATGTCTACCAATATTAAAAGTTAAAGGCTTCAACCAAAGGAATTCCTTCCCTTTTTTAAAAAGCATAACCATTCATTTTCTTATTTTCCTTTTGAGGAAAATGCCTTCTTTTACACAAACCTTTTCAACCTCCATTTTTAAATATAAATCACATATATTTTTATTAGGGATCGTTTACTAAAGACTTATCTAGATAAGTGTTTATCAAGTTACATTATCTTACCCGGATGAGTACGGTAAGTATCAATAATCTTATCCGGTAAGAGCGAGAGAACGATCAAGAGTCTTAACCCGGTAAGTGAAGGGGACGACTCTTATCACGAGTAGCACTTAGTGGGTAAATTGTTGCATATGATGTCGTTTTTGTTGACTAAAATCTTACCGCGTAAGTAAGTGATAGTGTTAAATTTTACCGGTAAACGTTTATCGGGTAAGTGTTTAGTAAACGACCCCTAAGTATATTTAAATGTTTTAATGATGATATTAAGAACTACCATTGTGTATTTTTCTATAGGTTTTTAATTTAATGAGTTACATGTAATCTAGTAAGGAAAAATGCAAAAATAGGTTGTTAATAAGAGTATCCTTAATGAACTCTTTCAACTGGTTATTTAAAATAGAGAATCAAAAATCAAAATATCTAAAAAAGATACTATATCTTAGAGATTATAACATTAACTACATTATTAAAATATTTAATACATTTAATAAAATATTTTTTATTTTTTAGATATTTAATTTTGAAGAATATTATTAATACAAGAGTAAATTACGTTTTTCGTCCCCATGGTTTGTTAAAAATTACGGTTTTCATCCTTGTGGTTTAGATATCTTGGTTTTCGTCCCTATAATTTGTAAATTATTGTTACTTTCGTTCTTCAGATTTTGTTGTTTCAGTCCTTGTACTTTAATGTTCTTTAATATTTTCGTTCCTTGTACTTTAAAAAGTAAGAATTAGTTCAGAGACAAAAATAATAATAAAATTAATAAAGAGATGAATGCTACAATTTTTAAACCACAACGATGAAAATCGTAGTTTTTAACAAATCATAGGAACGAAAAAAGTAATTTACTCTTGATTAAAACAAGAGTAAAATATGATCTATTATATTCCTGGTATTTTAAAAATTGTGGATTCAATTTCTCTAAAATACCTTAAAGTATAAGAGACTAAAATAAAAATAATAATAATAAACTATATAAATAAAAAATAATAAATTATAAGAACGAAAATAACGATGACTTACAAAAAAGTAAGTTATCAACCACAAGAAAGGAAATCACAATTTTTCAAACCATAAAAAAAATTACACTTTACTCTAAAAACAATAAAGTACCATTTTCCACTTTTAATTAATCATTGTAAGGAGTCCATTATATTTGGATAATTTAATTTTTGATAAATTATATAAAAAATAACATATTTTATCTTTATTTTTATTTTGGATAATATATTCTTAACTTTATTTTTATTTTGGGTAATATATTTTCAACATTTTATTTTGGTATTTAAATATAAAATTTTAAATATTTAAGTATTCGAGTAACCAGTTAAAGCATTAACTAATTACTATGTTGATGTGACAAATGATGTAGTATTCAATTCAATATTATTTACTATTCAACCCAATTTCATTATATCACTCAACACATCAACATGATAACCGATTAATGTTTCAACCAATTATCCAGATACTTAAATGTTTAATAATTTACATATTTGATTTTATTTTAAAAATACATTACTTAAAATAAGAATCAAATTAAAATATGTTATTTTTCATGTAATTTGACTTTTAATTTTTCTAAGTGGACCATTGGAGATGCCATATATTTATTAAAGAAAGTTTTATCACATAAAACAAACAAACTGGTTTTTAAAAATTACAGTTATACAAACGATCAACACACTTAAAAAACTTTAATACATATATATAATAATATGTAATATGTCCAACAAACTTATAGATGGCACCTATTGTTCGAAGATTATAACCGAATTAGTGTTGCATCACATGATGGTGCAAACCCTTCCATCCTGATTTTCATCATCAAACGCGCTCCTAGGATAATACCATGGGGGTGGTGGCGGAGGATAATAAACGGACGGATGAGATTGAGCGTATCCGTACACCGGTGGTGTATAGTATGAAGATTCAGTGCTCGGGTAAGATGTATTGTAACTCATCCCATACGCCGGAGTAGGATAGTAGTTATGATACGGTGGTAGATCGTACGGCCTAGCGTACACCATCTGATTAATTGGAGGGTTGAGATTTAATTTCTCCATAAAAGCTTCTACATTCTCTCGCGTTACTCCGGTGTTCGCCGGTGCATTGCCGGTGGTTGCACCGTCAGTTTCACCGTTCGGTGGTGTATCACCGTCCTTTTTATCACCTTTAGTTTTTTTATTTTTCTTCTTTTTACCACCTCCACCGTTACCGTTAGCGTCACCGCCGGCGACAGGTGGCTGAGATACTTCCTGACTGTTTCCGGCGTCACTTCCGTCAGTCGTCGTAGCTTCAGATTCTTCTTTCTTTTCGTCGTTCACATTTTCCTTATCGTCACCTTTTGTTACGCCATCCTTCTGTTTGTTGATCTGTTTCTTCTTTTTTGACTTTTCCGAACCACTATCTGCCGCCGGCGTAGCTTCAAAACTTTCCGGCAAAATCTCGGCATGTTTACCGGATTTCAGAAGCTTCTGGACCAGAGTGTTACCGTCGACGGATCCACTAACTATAGCTTTATGTTGCTTTGAATCAATTTCGGTCTTATAAACACCTGAAAAATTCAAATCATGAAGGCAGATACATCATACATAAAACCTAATTAACAAACCGAAGAAAAACAGTAATCAAACTGAAAATTAAGGAGAAACAGAGGAACTAATTAATCACCGTCGATGCTTTGAAGAACTTTGAACACTTTCTTCTTGCATCCTTCGCAATGGATGTAAACTTTCAAAATCCATGTCTGCAACGCAATCGATTACCAGAAAAAAAAACATGAATTAAACGAGAAATTAAGTAATTAACTATGATTAACAGGATGAAAGAATCATATATAGTGACGACTGATATGAATTAGTAGCTTAAAGTTACCTGATAATCAAGGTGGCCGGAGGTGGCGTTATGCCGGAGAACCGATGGCTTTGCCATAACTTCAGAGGAGGGTTTAGGTGTGATTTAGAATGGGAGTGTGGTTATAACGAAGGTGGTGTCGTGGTGAGGGGGTTATGTTTGGTGTGGATTCCACGTCAGCACACCCCACATACTGCCATTCACTAACACGTCACTAATGTCACGTGACAAGTCAAAAGCCCGAGAATAAATAGGCACCAAACCCAAACCATTTTTTTATCTTTATTTTAAAAATATATAATTATAAGAGGACATTTGTTTTGTTTTACAACCTATAATTATTATGAAGCATTAAAAGTTAATAAAATTAACAATTTATATTTAATTTTAAGATAAATTACATGAAAAAGTAATGTCTTTTAATTTGATTTTTATTTTGATAACATATTTTTGAAACTTTTATTTTGGTATCTAAGATGTAAAGTTTTAAACATTTAAGCATTCAGGTAGCCAATTGAAGCATTAACCGGTTACCAGTGATGTGGCGAGTGATGTGGTACTCGGTTAATTCTTCAGCAAATAATACTGAGTTGGATATCATATCATTCGTTACATAAGCATGGTAACCGATTAATGCTTCAACCGGTTATCCGGATACTTAAATGTTTAAAACTCTACATCTTAGTTATCAAAACGAATGTTTTAAAATTACGTTACCTAAAATATGAATGCACCTTACTTTTCCATGCAATTTACCATTAATTTTAATAGTTATTCTATTTTAATAATTATAATATTAATTATATTTAAATAAATAGTATTTCTCTATCTCGTAAATATTTATTTTCAACCCCTCTTATTGATAGAAAATATTAAAATAATAATTTTTTTCTCTATTTATATATTTATTTGAATTTAGAGATTTTTAGAACATCTTTAAATTGTTATGCCAAAATGGAGAAAAAAAATGATTTTAGCAATTTTTTGTTACAACAACTATGCTATATTGTATGTTAAAATAGAGAAAAAAAAAATTATAAAAATATCTAAATTTAAAGAAATCTCAAAATAGATTGAGAAATTATTATTTGAATATTTTCATCAATAAAAATATTGAAAATAGATGTTTACGAAAGATGAATAATATTTTATTAAATATATTTAATATTTTATTAATATAATTTATATTAGAAATACTTATATATAATAGTTGTTGGAGTTCAAAAAAATTAGAGATTCTGACTCTCAATACTTTATTTTAGAAGAATATAACATAGCTGTTGGAGATGTTCTTACAATCATTCTCCTCTATTCTCTATTTTAACATACAAGATAGCACAACTGTTGGAGCAAAAAAATTGTTAAAATCCATCTTTTCTTCATTAGCATAGCTGATGAAGATGCTCTTACATTATTTTTTTATCCATGTGTTGGAATCAGTGTAATGATTAATACATATTTGTTTCATAATGTGTACATTTTTGTTGTTTAAAAAACAAAAAAATATAACTAAATTTTTTATATTGTAAACCAAATATATAAAAACAATAAAATTGTAAAAAAATATAGGTTAATTGATATATTAAATGTTGTTTGTTTACCTCTTAATAGCTTAATTAAGAGACAATATTTGAATCGTTAAGAGGTGAATCTTGTTTGACAATTTTTTTTTCCTCTTAATGGTTTTAAAATCCTCTTAACGGTTTTGTATTTTGGGTATCCCTTAACCATTCAGCACCCTAATTTCTTTATAAATAATTACCAAACAATTATATTTCATTTTGTACTATATTATAAAAATCTCTTAATCATTTTGCACTAAACCATTAAACAACTTTCAAACACCCATAATGCATTGAGGTTGTGAATCATCTGAGCTCCTTTAATTGAAAACCATATACGGATAATGTGTTTGTTGGAGAATTTAAATTATTTATCTCAATGTAAATTTATATTATAATTATAATAAATATTTTTGTAATATTATTTATTTTTGTGATATTAGGTAGGATGTAAAGAAAACATGTTAAAAACTAAATGTTATTGTTATTTTTATTTATCATATAATAATTTAATTTGTAATCAATTATACATAATTTTTATTATATATATATATATATATATTATATTCGTTTATTATAAAAACATAATGTATATCACAAAAATGCATTATATATTACAAAAATAAATAATATATCACATATTTATAAAATATTTTGGTATATATAATATTGAATATAATAAAGTTATAATAGATGATATAAAAGTAACGTCATATCACCTGTAACGCCATAACACGTCATGGCCTCGACACCTTATATCCAAGTCAAGGGGGGTAACGTTTGCGGCAAGGCTGCACCTCTATGCCATGGCCCGTTTGTTTGAACATTGGTATAAATATACATACACAGATACGCGTGCATGCGCGCACGCGTGCGCGTACACACACACACACACACACACACATATATATATATATATATATATGTTTTCATCATAACTCGTAAAACTTAAGGCTTAACCTTGCCGTCACGCTATGCATCACGTCATTTAAAACCTTACCTTCATCAAATGAACAGATTCAGTTTTAGAAACTTGTCCAAAAAACAATAATATTCTTTTTTAAAAACCATCTCCTATTTTTAAAACTATATTATCTTAAATATCTATACTATATTATAAAATATTTGACAAAAACTCTTTAAAACATTTTTTATGTATAAAGTACTGTTTATTGATACATAATACTTAAAATTCAATATTACAAATAGATTGTGTATAAGTACAACTTATTAAAGTTTCATGGTTAAATTCGTGTAATTAATTGTAGATAAACATAATCAAATACAGGATAAACATCTCACTTTAAATATAAAAAATCTAAAATATAATTGGAAATTTCATTGAGTTCTAACATAATACTTAATTATTATTTTTATAAAAGAAATATATTATTAAACCAAAAATAAATTACTGCATTATTAAGCCCAAATTAAATTTTAAAAAATCGAATTAAAGAAATTATACAAAAAAAACGAGAATTTTATAATAGTTAACTTGATACTAATATCGATATAACTTTTTCAAATTTATATTTTATTCAAAAATAAAATCATTATCGTTTTCTCAAAAACACATAAAACCGTATTATACCAATAGAGATAAAGAATAAAATGAAACATTAAAATTGAAATGGATTTCGCGGCATTGTGCGAGTACCGTTCTAGTGATTAATAATTTAATCGAACAAACTATAAAAAAACCCGAACATTTTATTTTCTTCAATCTGATACTCATACCGATGTGTATATTGATTATTAAGTAGTTTATAAATAAAGCGATGTATAAATTCATTATGAATATTCGTTTATATTCACATGTATACCACAGCTTTACACATCCATATGATATTTATCGACTCTTACAAGATACCACCTCTTATCATGAATACCTTGTAATTCAAATTTAGTAATCATTATAATACATATAAAACCCATAAAAATAAAATGAAGAGGGATAAATGATAGAAGTTTGAAACATGTTTGAGGATTCCAAATTTTCAACTTCAAAATCAAGATTGCACTTCACAACTACATTTAGGGTTGTTTGTTTATCTCTTAGTAGTTCCATTAAGAGACAGTCTCTGAATCGTTAAGATGTGAATCTTGTTTGACAGAAAAAAAATATGTCTCTTAATGGTTCTAAAACCATCTGAATGATTTTGTATCGTGAGTCTTCCTTAACCATTAAGCGCCAATTTCATTGTAAACAATTATATTTTATTTTGCATTATATCATGAGAGTCTCTTAATCATTTTGACCACTTAAATCATTATCTATCAAATCATTCAACAATTACCAAATAGCCTTTAAGTCTACAATAAATCTCCAAGGAATAAACCATTTGCGGAGGGACAAGCGGGGATGGACTTACTTTGATGGCATAGGTGGCACGTGCCACCGTATTATTCATCCGTCGAAAGGTTAAAAAAAATTAGGTTCGTAAAAGGTGCAACCGTATTAATTTATTGTGGGCCGTCATATTTATTTTGAAATTACAATGAGAACAAGTTTTATTTGACAGAGTTGGTTTGCAAAGCTTTTATTCCACCTCATACCCAATTTTGAATCATGTTGGTGTCATTTTCGTAGTCAAATGGTGCTATTGTTTGAAAAAAAATCCGTATAATTGTTTTTTATAGTCAAACGGTGCCACCGTTTAAAAAAATTTCCTTATATTTTTTTTTCTTATACTCAAATGGTGCCACCGTTTGAAAAGAAAAAAAAAAAAAAACTCTGGGTCCGTCGCTAAGGACAAGCCTTGTGGTATGTAACAAATATGAACAATCTATTAAGGATTATCGAGGACAAATAAAACTACCTATAAACATAGTGTAACCTTTGCTAGTAATGAATTTGGTATGCATCATGACAAAACAAAAACTTGTGTTTCATGTTTGGCGCAACAATTTTATTGACACAAGACCAGGTTGAATGGATAAAAATGTCGATTTTTTATCCCATAAAGGCAGTACAAACAAAAAATCAAGGAAATATAACAAGATAAGTAAGTTACTAAACTACCCATGTTAAAATAAACCCTTAAAACTCCGGCTATAGTTTTCTATGGGTCCTGGACTTTGTGGTGCGGTACCCTAGCCACCTGTTCTCATTAGTGGGTTATATGACGGACGTTTGTTTCTTTTGTCTTATTGGATGTCTCGTGTTTTGTGGGCTTTCGGTTGCGACCTCCCTCCTTTCTACGCCTTGTAGATGGTGGGTTGGTTTTTCTTGGGTCAGGTTTTTCTTTTACGAGCCTACTTCACTCTCTTCAATCAAGTCTCGTCAGTCATATCTGCATACCAAACACACATATTAACGCTTTCTACATACGAGAAGTAACATTAGGATGATGACGTATGCTAATTTTGGTTGGGTGACATAAAAAGATTTACATGTGAGATGGCAGCCAATTGGCCCACTCCCATTCCCCTCTTTGATTTCTAATGGAATGACTCATTCCAATCCATTGCATCATATGCTTACCCTAATTCCCTCTTCAAGTTTGCAACAATACACGTCAACCACTCGTCATT